TCCTAAATTCAGTAGAGCATGACAAACAAATTATTCTTTTTTTCAAAAGTCAGTTACATATTCTATTAAAAGTCAGATATTTATACGTTATTTTAAATTAAACAAAAATCAGGTATTCAACGTGAACCTGATTTAGGTTCGATTCAGATTATTGAACCAAAAATTTGGGTCAGGGTGAAGCGGGAGCCGGACATTTCTAAAATTCAGCAGAGTATGACAAATTATTCTTTTATTAAAAATCAGTTATATATTCTATTAAAGTCGGTTATGATATTTTAATTCAAGACTCAGATATCCAAAAGTTGAACCGAATTTAGGTTCTGTTATGGTCATTGAACCTAAATTTGAATCAAAGTGAAGCTGGAGCCGGACATTCCAAAAATTTAGTAGAGTAAGATTTGAAAAACTTTCACTTCGCTCCCTCGGCTCCAGCCAATAAACTAAATGTCATGGTCATGGCGCGTCTTTAATATAAAATAAAATTATTATTTAAAAAACGAGTGAAGCTTCGCTAATTTTTGATTGATTTGATCACATTTGATCGGTTGTAATCACGATGTAAATTAGTCAATTATATGAATGTCTTTCTATGAACATTCCAGTGGGATTTCTCACTGGAACCACTGGAATTCTGGAAAAGTCATTAATTCACCACAACTGTATCCTATGACGTGACCCTTGTACCTGTATAAATTAACTGATTTGGTCACATTGCATATTCTTTAAATTTTATTGTTGATCTTAAACATCATTTATTTTCTTGTTATTTATATCATTTTATCTCTTAAAGCATTTTTTCATGTAACACTATCCTGGTATTTGATTTATATTGTTTACTACTCAATCAGAATCTGGCTTAACTTAAAACAGTCTGAACTTTCTCAGTTAGATATTGTCGTAGATCATAATAAGAATAAAATGAAATATAGGGCCTTTTAAACTTCACATCTACTTTTTTTTATTAATGATCCTAACTAAGTTGCATGGCGTAATCTATGAATTTCACATAGCTCGTGAGGTTTACTAATATAGATATTATCCGGATATTTTAATGGTTCAATGTTAGGTTTAACCTTATGGCTTCTAAAATTGTTTGTTTCATCATCGGAGTTTTCTATTTCTTCAATCCAGAAAGTAATCAAAGCATTAACGTATCGTATACTAGGTCGTTTTTTCGGGTTTGAATCCATACATCTATTGGCTAATATAACAATCAGGAATACCAGATATAAAATTTGGTAATCCATGATCATCAAAAACTCATTTTCCGGTTGAGATTTCCGTCATAATGATACCTAAAGTGTAAATGTCTGACTTTTAATAGAATATGTAACTGACTTTTGAAAAAAAGAATAATTTGTTTGTCATGCTCTACTGAATTTAGGA